TGACCATGTGAGGGCTGCCTGACTGTGTGTGAGGGCCGTGACCGTGTATGGGGGCTGTGACTGTGTGTGAGGGCCATGACCGTGTGTGAGGGCCATGACCATGTGAGGGCTGCCTGACTGTGTATGAGGGCCGTGACCGTGTGTGAGGGACGTGACTGTGTGAGGGCCATGACCGCGTGTGAGGGCCGTGACCGTGTGAGGGCTGCCTGACTGTGTGTGAGGGCCGTGGCCGTGTCTGACTTGCCACTCACACAGCATGGACTCACGTTCTGCTCCAGCAGTGCCTCCACACTGCAGCCTTTCTCAGACTGCAGGTACTTTTGGTGGAAGAGTTTCCCATCAAAGACATTCCAGGGCATGAAGTCGCTGCCATCCAAGGGGAAGCCACACGCACTGTTGACGAACGCCAGGGTGGTGAGGCCACGGACAAAGAGGGAGCCCAGCTGCACGGCCCTCGGGTTGATGTGGTCCAGCTGCAGAAGCAGACACAGGAGGGAGCTGTGTCAGGAAAACGCTGGGAGGGGAGCGCCCACGTGCTCAGCCTGAGCCACCGTGTGTGGTGGCCCACGGCCTGCTGCTTATCACCACACCGCAGGCACCGGGGCACCACGCATCCGTGTCATCATCCCCATGTCCCTGCCCATGTAGGCGGAGACACAGGCTCACACAGGACGGCTGGGTGGTGGTAACACTAGAGGACACATCCCTCCACCCATGTCACAGCAAGGCACCCAGGAAACACTACGGCTTCCCTGGACTCTTCTCCGAAAAGCTGTCCTTGCGGTTTTGCAAACACTGTCAGCTCCTGTCGGCTCAAACTCCTGCTGCAAAAGCTCACACTCGTCACCACCTCCTAAGCCGTTCAGAGCCTGCTGGCAGGGCTCCCATAGCAGCCACGGGGTACACTGCCTGCACCCTGACAGATGACAAGGCCACACTCTGTCCCTCACATCACAACAAAAGCACATGATGCCTTTCAGCTGGAGGTCACTGAAAGTGGGTATGTGCTTCCCCCACTCCAGGCCATAGTCGTGTGCAGCCCTGTCCTATGGGCACCCAATAGTGGCCAGATGACCCTTCAGAGCACAGCCTTGTTGCCCTCTGTCCCCAGCCCCACACACACGCCCACCCTCCTGCCCTTTCCACACACAGCCTTCCCCTCAGGCCCTGGCAAGCACGCACTCCTGTGGCACACACAATGCCCCCCCAAGCCCTGGCAGACATGCACCCCTGTGGCACACACAGCACCCCCCAAGCCCTGGCGGGTATGCACCCCTCACCCCTGTGGCATGCACAGCACCCCCCAAGTCCTAGTGGGCACGCACCCCTTGGCATGCACAGAGCCCCCTCCAGGCCCTGCTGGGCATGCACCCTGGCGGGCACACACCCCTGCGACACACACAGCACCCCCTCCTCCGGGCCCTGGCGGGCACATACTCCTGCACAAGGCTGGTTATTTCTGAGTCTAAGCTAAGCAGCTCTTCCTTAATGAGACCAGGACAAGCAACATAGTCACAGCTCGATGCCTGGTCCTCCCCCACCCTGCACACCCTGTCTGCAGTGTGTTTCTAGGATGGCATGCCCCAAGGACAGCTCTCTCACTGGGATCAAGGCCTAAAGAGGGACAGTCACTCATCAGGTACTGGTTCAAACAAGGGAGAACAAGCGCATTCATGGGTGGAGGTGGCCCCAGGTCCAGGTTTCAGAGGTTATCAAAACAGTGAGCCAGCCAATCAAGTGGGCAGAGACCTTGACAGACACTCATCAAGGAGGACATTCAAATGGCCAATAAACAGGAAGATGCTCAGCATCCTTAGCCATCAGGGAAGCAAATCAAAACCATAATGAGGTCTATTACACTCCCACTAGGATGGCTACAGGGAGCTCTGGTGCCGTAGTGCCTAAGGCATTTGACTGCTAACCAGAAGGCTGGTGGTTCAAACCCACCAGCCACTCCTCGGAAGGAAGGTTGGGCAATCTACTTCCATAGTGATACCACCTCAGAAACCCAATGAGGGGTCGCTATGAGTCGGGTCTGACTTGACGGCACATAACAGCAAAAGGACGACTACAAGGAGCTCTGGTGGCACAGTGCCCTTAAGGCATCTGATGGCTAACCAGAAGATGGACAGTTGAAACCCACCCACCGCTCCACAGAAGAAAAATGGGGCAATCTACTTCCATAAGGATTTACCGCCTTAGAAATGCTATGGAGGTCACTGCCCGTAGGACTCGACTGGATGGCAGTGGAAAGGATGGCTAAGACAGAAACAAAAACGAATGTTGATAAAGAAGTGGGGAAATGAGAACCCCCATCCACTGCTTACAGAAACCCAAACTGGTACAGCCATTGTGGGAAAGAGGGTGGAGGTCCTCAACGACCTTAAAGCAGTACGACCCACGGCCCAGCCATTCCTAGGAGCACACCCAGGAGACCTGCACACAGACACTCAGAGAGAGCCTCGTCCACACTGCTCATAGCAGCTGGAAAGTGCAAACACCTTAAATGCCCATAGACAGATGATGGGACCCAGTGTGGTCCATCCACACAACAGATTAGTCCTCAGTCAGTAGGAGAAGGAAGTCTGCATGTGTCCTACAGCATGGGTGGAGCTTGAAACACAGTGTGCGAGACAAGCCAATCACAAGAGAATGCTGTGTGACCTCACATCAAAAGATAAGAAAAGGCAAAGGTACAGACATCAAACTTCTGCAGTGGCACCAGGGGTGGGAGACAGGAAGGAGACTGCACATCCAAGTACTGTCCGCACGCTCAGTAAGTTATTTGACTGTAAAAAGGGGTATCAGTCTAAGTCTGCGATACCCACTGCCATCGAGTCGGATTCAACTCCTAGCAACCCTCTTTGGGTTTCCGAGGCAGTATCACTACAGAAGTAGATTGCCCAACCTTCCTTCCAAAGAGTGGCTGGTGGGTTTGAACTGCCAGCCAGCCTTCTGGTTAGCAGTTGGATACCTTAGGCACTATGCCACCAGAGCTCCTAAGTTCAGTGACAGACGCATTTAAAACAATGATCAAAGAAAAAGAGCAGGGTTTCCGGTAAGATGGAGGAATAGGCAGACAAGTGACACAGACCCTCTTCAACAAAGAAAAGAAAAACCAATTGACAGAGATACAGAAGATAATCCTGGAGCCCTGAGCTTTGAAAGGAAGGATACAGAAGTGGATCAGGCACCAACTAGTGGAAAATCCTGAACGAAAACAGTGAGTACAGAGATGGTCGGAGCTGCAGACTGTCAGCTACTCTGACGAGACCAACAGCCTGAATATTTCCAAGTGGTGTTAGGACCTAAGAATTGATCTAAAGATCAGCCCTGGTCACCAAGGGCTGCAGGGATGACTGCGCTGGTGGCCTATGACGAGGAAGGGACACAGCAAGGAGGGAGACAACCTGAGCTGTGGACTTTCCACTGTCTGGAGAGTGCATCCATTTTGATTATTTACACGCAGCAGCCATTTTGGGTATTTAAAGTGACCAAGGGTGCAGCCATTTTGAATGTTTACAAGTGGCAACCATTTTGGATTTTAAAGTGACAGCTCTCATTCAGATTCCAGGGACCTAAGACTAGGCTCTGTTTGCCAAGGTTGGCAGGGACATACAAGAGGCTGACAACAGGAAAGGAAACAGCTGGTGAGTGTACAAGA